AGAATGCGTTTGTGAACTTGGTGTTGTGTACGGCCGATATACTTTACTCCACACCAGTGACCAAAAACGGCATTTTATCCTTAACGTTAAACTTGGTAAATTGTCTGCTGAAGAATGTGATGCGTAAACTGGATGCTTGAAATGTCTTCCTCAGACATTTAGAAATGCAGTTTCTGAGAATTTCTGCTTCTATGTCACCTCTGAATTCCAGGTTCGTTGAGGAACAGTTGTGAATTTTGGCGACGGAGGCTTTTCCTTCATGTTTTTGTAGATGAATCTTGGTGGATAGCCATTCTCTAGTAATGTTTCACGTAATAAATTTAATTCTTTCTCTATCATGTCTTCCGAACAGATTTTCCCAATCCTTGGAATCAATGTACGTGACAAGTTTTGCTTTCGGATCAGTGGGACGAAGCTCTGGAAGTTGATAAACTGTCCAGTCCATGTTGGCTTGCGGTATGTCGATCTTTGGATCGTACAGTCGTGTCTTCTGGTGAGTAGTACATCGAGGAATGGAAATGAGTTGTTCGATTCGCGTTCTAAGGTGAATTTTATTGATGGATGCGTTGTGTTGAAGGTTTTGAGGAGATACTCTCAATCAGCTTTTTCATCACAATTTATGAACCCATCATCTACGCATCTCTTGTATAAGTGCAGTGGACTTACAAAGGATCAAAGGTGTTGTTTTTGAGACTGGCCATGAAACTGTAGGCTAGGAGTGAACCGAGAGGAGACCTAATAGCTACACCATCTTTCTTCACATATAATTGTTCATTTAATTTGAATCGGATATTAAACGTGCATCTAAGAAGTAGTTCTTTCAGGTGGTTAATGCGAAGAGGAACTTCTAGGTTGTTGGTTTCGATGTAGTCACAAATGAAACATATTGTTTCGGTCAGCGGGATGCTTGTGAATAGAGGCGATATCTAGTCAGAGCATTTGTCTTTCAAACACGCTGACATCTTTCACTGAATCGATGAAGTCAAATGCGTCACTAAGGCTATATTTTGTAATGTCTTCTTACCGGTTCAAGGATATCAGCTAGCCACTTCGCGATCTGATGATATGGTGAGTTAACCATATCAATGGTAGACCGAAGTGGAACATTCGCCTTATGCACTTTAGGCAGTCGATACAGTCTTGGAATAGATGAACTGCACAGTTTTATTTGCTCATATACCTCCAGTGTTATGACTGAATCTTCTGACCAGTGTACGTGCAAGTTTTTGCTTTCGGACCAGTGGGCCGATATAAAATAGTGAGTACTTTCCTTTCAGATGCTTCCTAATTTTACCTCTTGTTCAGAACAAGTGAGTGAAGAGGACAGTCCGCAAGGAAAACACACACACGCACGCACATCCACAACACACTCTCTACTAAATCGCTGTAGCGCCCCTATATTAATTCTAACACTACGCTTAAAAAACTAATTCATGTAAAGCATATTATACGTTTACAGAAATTAATCTTACATATACTTGTCGAATATTTGTCATTGTATACTTGAATACTGCTTCTCATCTTCTAATATGTATATTCTTTGCGGACATCCATCTTTTTCATTCGTTTCGCCTCACACTTTTCAAGTTTTCACATGTATTAATATAGCATTGTTCATCGTTGACCGTGTACAACGTTAGGACATCGAGTAATGTGAAAACATGGATATACTACAGTATTATACTCTGAATCATAATAAGTACACTATACCACAGCAGGCTACAGTAAAAATATACCTCAGAAAATTATATCAAGTAACATGATAGCTGTCTATCAGAGAAGAGATAAACGCATATGATATGAAGCCAAATACCGGAGAGGTGGAATAGAGAACACGCTAACTTCATCACTTAAAAAGAATCTCGAATTGACCAACACTTACAAGTTGCTCAGATGTACTACCAGGAAACACAGAACTGCCAGTGAATACTCATCATCTGACAAAAACATAGGTCACCAAGGCGAGGAAGTTGTTGTAGGTAATGAAAACAGCATGACCGAAATGGAATTCACACAGAAGCACTGAAAACAGATACAGAGATACCAGTGGATATGGTGAAGCCGCCACTGAAGAAGACAGCACTTGAAAGGAAAGCGTCAATGCTGGTGTTGTACATTATATTAACATTATGTTTACAGACTTCGGGCATTGATAAACCATTGTCAATCTGTTTCATTGCATCACTTCAGTCATAAACAACAGTAGTGTTACCCAACCGATTTCCGTAGTTCTTCATCGGTTATAATGCACAGTAATATATGTGTAGAACTTGGGCACTATGGTAATAAGTAATTCCATGTTAATTTGTTTACTAGATGTATCACACAGTGAAACAGTATTATTTACTGGTTGACAATGTTTCGAACACAATTTATTGCTCGTAATCATATTAATTATAATCACACGACTTCGAAACTTGAGTTTTATAGTTTCCTTTGTTCTCTCCTATTTGTCTCTCGCCTAGATCACTATCTCGCTAGTTTTCCAGCCGGTCCCAAGCCCGGATAAAGAGGGAGGGTTGGGGCGTGATGCTAGCAACTCCACTCCCAAAACTTAACCGAATCGCTACAGAAACTTTAACGTCGTTGGGGTAGTAGAATTTTCCAGATGTCAATGAATCATTCCTATTACATGTATTTTTAGTTGATTCGACAAACAAAGTTCCCGTTATCAATCTCCCCCTCCCTACACCCTGTGACACTAGATTTTAAAACTGTAATCCTATCCCATCCAGCCTATTGTATGGTTGTGTGTAATTGCATATAGCGAGTGGTATAGCTCAACTATTCTCTAGATTTCTTATTTTATTTGGGCCAACCAATCTAGATTTTGCTAGGCTTTTATGCTCGACTAGTCTGACTCACTGACCCTGTTCTACTGCTTTGACCTGACAATGATTCCAGCAGGGTATTAGATAAACTAAGTTGTTGTCTTGTTTTAAAGGCTCCACAGAATTCATCCTTTAACCGACAAAGCTTGTTTCTAGTTGAATTTGTGGTTGGTTTGAAAGTCAGTTACTTTCATTCCCTTGTAAAGAATTCTCCGTCTCCAAGATTTTCGCGGTTCCTTCCTTGTATGGAATCTAAATCGTCAGCAGTAATTCCATAATATTGCCTCTAGTTAAGACAAAGGTGCCAAATATGTTCGGTATGCCTTCCTAGATTACACATCTGGCTTTGACTCTGTATCTAGGCCTCCTTTGTTAAAGAAGCTTGCTGTGTCACAAGCACACTGCTGGACTACCAAGTGGTTGCATTTATATTTTCCTGATAGGAAAAAGTACACTGTTTACAATGGGAAGTTATCCACTGCTTACTTCGCTTACTCTTGCTGGTTTTCTTAATTCACCATCCTGTTATTTCTCCCCTTCTGTTTTCCTTCTTCCTAGATGACTTACTTGCTGAGTTCTGACGAAGTCAATTTTGTTAAGTATGCCGATGACCCATTTAACTGTTTCTATACCAACGGTTACTTCCCAGTCCCACAGTTCCAAAATGAATAATCTCTTATAAGAAATTAGTCAGTGGTCCTCGTCAAGTGGTCTTAAGCTTTAATCCCTCCACAGATGTCAGGTGGTTGATTTCACTTTCAGATGTAAAGCCGACTTACATGAACTGGTTAGTTCGCATAGTTCGACTATTATAGATGGCACTGAAGTTGAAACCAAATCGAAAGTTAAATACATTGGACTGCAGTATTTCCTCTGATCATCTTTTCTCGTCTTCCCACATCATTTTAACTTACAGAAATATATTTCGTTTGATGTTCTAAGTAAGGAAGTTAAGACGATCTGGTATCAACCCATCTCTACTGATACTGTTTGTTAATTCTTGTATTCTGCCTATACTACTCCTCATCTCAACTTTATCTTTCCCAGGCTACTTAAGAAATTCTTTGTTTGATATACTATGAAGGGCACTAAACGCTGTCAGTAGGGAGAGTGAGTGAGATTGTTGCTAAACCACCTCGTTAATACTATTGTAGACAGACACTTGGATTCCTGGGATGAATTAGCAAATATTAGGTCTTGTCAGACTCTGAACATCCTCTCCATAGACATCTCTATCCTGAGGTCTATCTCATCACATAGAGGAACTAGAAGTATCAGCCATAGAAGACTGTTTGATCGGATGACTAAATACAAAATCTCGACAATACCTTATATAGCCGGGATATATTTTATGTGATGAGAATAGTGTAAGGCAGGAAATTACCAACTCACTGAGGAACTCTAAGTAAACGGCGCATTGATTGTTCTGTTCTCATTAATACATATTGTCGCTACATATTTTCACTTGATTTAATTTTATATTCATTTCTTATTTGAACAATGTTATGAATGTGAATGTCCTACTTTAATTATCTGACCGCTGCAATGAGATAATTAGATGCAATAGTGTACTACACATGCCGAAAATCCCATATTTGTAATAGAAGCATAGTTTGGAATAAGGCTATTACTATTATCATATATGTATGTACCTGTGTTCTCCCTTGTGCTAACCAGTCTAGACAGTGTTCCTGAGTGCATTTTTCAAATGAAAGTAAGCTACGAACCAATGCACTCATTTTGTTTTGCTCAAAAACTACCTACAGGTTCCACTTGTCATTCATTCTAAATCAATTTTGTTTTACAACACCTTAATAGATTACATACAGGTGATAATATTTTCATTCCCTAGACAATTGCAACAATCCCTAGGCGAACAGGCAGCTGAACACATTTCGACTATAAAGAATTAAAAACAGTAAAAATAAATGTGCCACAGAATTGACCAAGAAATAACTGGAAAATCACAAACAAAGTAGTTTTGAAAAAAAAATTAGCAAAGAAAGCTATAAAAAACAACTTTTTTTCATTCATTGTACAACAGGATATTTAAAAAAGGTATGAAATTCTGAGGAGGAGGAGAAATGCTCACATTCTGAGTGATAGAGACGCACACACACACACACACACACACACACACACACACACACACACACAAGTACACACTTATTATGGGGAATTTGTTTTGGATACTTTTTCCAAATCAGTCATATACTCTTCATGACGTACAGAAGCATTAATTCGTGAGATTTTATCATCGAAAAACTTTGAAAACCAATCTAAGTGTTGTCGTTTCTCGGTAACAGTGATATGAGGATTTTGTGAAAGACCATTGCATACAAGTTCTAGAAATGAAGCTAATGGTTTACACTTTAAATGTTCTTTATTCAAATGATCTTCTAGAAATACGTGTTCATGGAATGGTACATTGGATTCTTCTAACCAGTCTAAAACAAAAAGGTGAATAAATACTAATGATAATAATAATATTAATAATAAATCGTCTTTTATAAAAAAGCTTCTCTTGAAATGCACAATGAATGTTGACTTTTTTTATTTAATAAAAAAACTATACAGACAAATCGATGATGTGGCAATAGCGTCACCACTAGGACCTATACTAGCCGACATTTATCTTGTAAAAGTAGGGAATGGGCCTTTGAAAGGTGTAACTGATGAACTAGAATTCTACTGTCTTCAAAAGAGAACGGAACAATAAGAAGTGTACGCACAAAACATACATCAACTGACTATCAGTGTGTATACTCATTTTTCCAGCTTTATACCTTTGAAATTCACAAACGCAATCTCTAATAAAGTGCTTGGTCCACCACAGATCAATAGCAATCTGCTCTGATGAATGTCTTGATGAAGAGCTTAATATTATTAAACAGTTACTAGGTGAAAACTGTTACCCAAAAAAATTCATCTATCAGAAAATGAATCAAAGGTGAAGGCAGGCAGGTAGGCCAAAGTACCAACCAACTGTTCCGATGAAGGAAGGCCTTCTTCTTACAAATTCGCTTCCTCATTGATATTAACATCAATGAGATATTAACACAATGCCTGAGAAATATGGTAAAAAGAGCATTTAGTGGTGCGTCCAGGAGCTAAAGATCAACTACGTCTATCACAATTTGACTGGTCTCATGGAGAGAGTCAATCAGTTGGATAGGCCGTACAATTGGATTTTGAACCCTCTCCTACACAGTGGTTTAGTAAGGGAGAAACAAAGTTCATTCAAAGTTCTATTCTATCTCATCCCGTAGACACAGAAAACAAAACTGATGTAAAAAGAGACCTTCGAAGTCACTTACCGTGTACCAACTAAGCTTAAATTTACCTGAAGACTTCGTCTGTTACACATTACTGCTGAGGCTGTTGGAATCAACATGAAGAAGCCTAACTTATGTACATAAAAGAATAAGTTGGTTCACACACTTTCCTTACTTTGACCGTCAATCAACGTTTTAATGACCCTTAATTTACTGTTGTACAGATTTCCTTAATGTTATTTGATATTCTATTCACTATTACATTTCTATGCTTTTTATAATAACTTATAACCTCGCCTAGATTACTAGCTCGCTAGTTTTCTAGCCAGTCTCAAGCTCGGATAAAGAGGGAGGGTTGGCGCGTGGTGCTAGCAACTCCACTCCCAAAACTTAACCGAATCGCTACAGAAACACTTCAACGCACAAATATATTAAAAATTCTAAAAATATAAACAATAACCTTATTTCTCGCTGGAATCGGGGAAGTGAAATGACGCAGGCTGGTGAAAGTCTTCGTGAAGCCAGTCAGTCGATGTGCCTTCTTTAGATGAAAGCAAAAATAAGGATGGGTACGTGGAATTTTAGTACAATGTACGAAACTGGAAAGGCTGCCTAGATAGCCGCAGAAATGAGGAGATATAGAATAGAAGTGTTGGGAATCTGCGAGAGCAGACGGAACGGATGTGGAAGGTGCCTACTATCAACTGGAGAGACAATAATCTATTTCGGTCACCCAGATGACAACCACAAGCACACCGAGGGAGTGGCCATCATGATGTCACCAACACCAGCCAAAGCTCTCATGCAGTGGGAACCAATCTCCTCCAGGATAATGACAGCCAGGTTCAACTCAAAAAGAAGGAAAGTTACAGTCATTCAATGTCAATGCTATGCGCCTACAAACGTCTCAGAACAAGAGAAGAAGGAGGCGTTCTACAGACAACTACAAGCAATAATGGACAACGTCCCAAATGGCGATATCAAAATCCTGATGGGTGATTTGAATGCGAAGCTGGGAGGAGACAATACAGGGAGAGAACTCACCATGGGTCGAGAGGCTCTCGGTGAAATGAACGACAATGGTGAACTCTTCTCAGACTTCTGCGCCTTCAATGATTTTGGTGATTGGTGGCAGTGTGTTCAAACACAAGGATATACACAAGACGACATGGATTTCACCAGATGGAAACACCAAAAACCAAATAGACTTCATCTCAATTTGAAGAAAGTGGAGACGGAGCCTACTGGACACAAGGTCAAGGAGAGGAGCAGATGTGGGTTCAGACCACTATCTAGTAGAAGGAACTTTCAAGGTGAAGCTAAAAGCCTCGAGGATAGCTGGGGATAGGCCACAATGCAAGTTCAACACTCAAAAACTGAAGGACACAACCACAAAGGACACTTTCACTGCAACTGTCAGAGCAAAGCAGGAAACACTACGTGACATCACAGAAGATTCATGTGTGTAAGAGACCACTGGAACTCTCTGAAGGTGATTTTCAACGAAATGTGTTCAACGGTTTTAGGAAGAAAGAAAAGGCGAGACAAGGAATGGCTCTCAACGGACAATTGGAAGCTAATAGAGGAGAGGAGAATGGTGAAAGGGAAAATGATTCAACGCAAAGATGGAAAAGAGAAGGAGAAGCTGAGCTCAACGTACACAGCACTAGACTAAGAAGTGAAGAAGAGTGCTAGGAAGGACAAAAGACAATTCTACGACAACCTCGCCACTGAAGCTGAGAAGGCAGCAGGCAAAAGGGACCTGAGGACATTATATCGGATAACCAAGTCTCCATCCGGGAAGAGATCAACACAAGTGAAACCTATAAAAGACAGCCAAGGGAACCCAATTATCAAGGAAGAAAGACAGATTAAACAATGGGCGGACCACTTCAAAGGACTCTTGAACCGACCATTACCTGCAACCCGTCCAGAAATACGAACAACAGCGCGCACACATCTGCAAGTCGACACCAATCCTCCAACGAAAGCCGAAGTCTTGAACGCAATCAAACTTCTGAAAGCTGGAAAAGCAGCTGGACCAGATGGAATACCCCATGAAGCACTCACTGAAAGCGAGCCCAGAGACGACAGCAGACATGCTGACTCCATTATTGCAAAAGGTCTGGAAGGAGGGAAAGGTGCCTACTGACTGGAGGAAAGGTTACCTCGTGAAACTACTAAAGAAGGGCGACTCATGCCTCACTCTGCAAGAACTGGCGAGGAATCATGCCCCTATCGACGCCAAGTAAAATCCTGAGTCGCATCATCCTGGAGAGATTAACCGATGCACTGGAGACAGAACTCCGACCAGAACAAGCTGGATTCAGGAAAGTCAGGCAAATCATGTACTGACCAAATTGCAACTCTACGCATCATCATCACAGAACAAAGCATGGAATGGCAATCAAACCTCTACCTCAACTTTATAGACTTTGAGAAGGCCTTCGACAGACAGCGTTGACCGTGAAGTAATTTGGAAACTACTCGAGTACTACGGCGTACCCCAAATATTCATCAACCTTATTCAACAGCTGTACGACAACGGCACATGTCAAGTGATCCACAACGAAAAACTCAGCGAGGCGCTTCTTCTTCTTTTCTTTACTTCGGCTATCTCCTACGGGAGGATGAACCGGCTTCATGAACATCTCGAATGTTTGTAAGAGAGTTGATGAAGTTTCATGGGAATTGGGTACGAGTGATGTCCCCAGCATCGCTCGGCCTTTTGTTTGAGAGTGCAGCTCTAGCCTTTACACAACCAAGTGTGACCTACAAGGCAATAGGAGTGGAGTAGGGAGTCCACTATCCATTGGCAGCCGGTGACCGGAGTCCGGTTCATACGCCTTTTTGAATGGGGCCAGTCATCCAGGGCATCCAATAAGCCCTTTGTCCATACGTCTGACGGTGAACTCCGGTAAGCTTCATACGCCAGTCGTTGGAAATTTGGAATCAGGGTTTAGCCATCTCCCCTAGACTGTCATCCAATAGACAGTCAACCCGGTGAAGAGCGCCGGGCATCCGCTTTTGCCCTCTCACTTCGGTGAAATAAACACCTCCGCCACGTGAAGGCAGTGAGTAGGACTTCCTCAGGAGAGGCTATGTAAGACGCACGGTCATATGGGAGCATTTCAAGAGGTGTACGGAGGGGTGGCCAACCCGCAGTGCAAGACACCCACCCCCGACCATCCTGAGGCTTTGGAGGCGCTTGGAATAAACACAGGAGTCAGACAAGGGTGTTTGCTTATTATCACCAATGAAGGATATTCCTAATTGTGGTGGACTGGATTATGCGTCAAACAGTGGGAAACGAGAAGACAGGGATATCCTGGACCGACGTGAAGGACCTAGAAGATCTGGATTTCGCGTGTGGATGATTTATGTTTGATGTCACACAAAATCGAAAACTGACAAGCGAAAACCGACAAACTGGTCGAAGAAGCAGCCGGCAAAGATAGGACTCCAAGTGAACATAGACAAGACAGAGGTTATGAAAATAACCAACCAACAAATAACAACAGCAGCAACACAGCGTCAATCGCCACCAACGGGAAGGATTTGAAAGAGGTTACTTCATTCACTTACTTATTTAGGGAGCATTGTCTCAACTACAGGAAGTCGGAACGGACGAAGATGTCAAATCTAGCGAGAATCGGGAAGGCGAGAAACACATTCATCAACCTGAAACCAATCTGGAAATCTTCGTCACTCAGCATCAACAACAAAATTCGCTTGAATTTTCAATACAAACATGTCAAGTCAGTCAGCTCTTCTATACGGATCAGAAACTTGGCGGGCGGGTCACAAAGAATATTTCCAACAGCCTGTTGCAGACCAGACCTTTATCAACAACTGTCTTCGCTGGCTCTATAATGAAGATCAGATGGCCGGGCCGGAAAGAATCACCAACAACAAACTATGGGAACAAACAAAACAAGAACCAATCGCCGACCAACAAATATGCAAGAGAAAGTGGAGATGGATTGGACATTTCCTGAGGAGGCTGCTGGATGACATCGCGCGCGCGTCAGGCCATTGCTCGAGTGGAACCCAAAAGGGAAGTGGCCAGTGGGTCCTCAGTGCAAGGGTGACATGGAGAAGATCGTGTGAAGAGGAGTTGAAACAATATGGACTAAGATGGATGCAAGTGAAAAGTACAGCAGAAGACAGAAGCATGTGGAGACGTGTAGTTGAAGCCCTATGTTCCACTAGGAATTCAAGGGAACATTAATAATAATTCTAACTTATGCATCTTTCTTGAACTGTCTGTAATTCCACTGCCCTTAATAAATCGATAGTATTCAAAAAACACCAATATTGTCAATGACGATTATTCTAAAATATTCTGTATATATTTATACAGTTGAAGAACCGAAAGAGAGAATTATCGAAAAGAATATTCCTTGCTCAATTTTTTTGTTAAATGCCTGAATAATGATATTCTTTGTTCTCAAACAATACTGATGATACACAGTGTGTAATTTTCAGCATTTGGTACAATATTCCATCTGATTTGACCTGAATAACATTTAAAACAACTACAAAGATAATATTACAGGAGTGATTGTTAACGGCAGTTCTCACTTGATATTTGTGATGACAGTGAAGTCATTCATATATGCACAAAGACAAAAAAAACATTGTGAATAATAATGATAGTAATGTTAGTAGGCAAGATTGTCAGTCAGTTCAATTGAGATAGTGTCGACATAGATTACAAATAGGAGATTGCAAATAGTCGAGCTGATTATTTTGCTGACAACACAGTCATTCATAAGTTTCACGCTTCAAATTGTCTCTATCGCATAGAACACGGACTGACCACCAAATATGGTATCGTTGACTTTCTACACTTCGTAGTACGAGCATATAATCTCTTGTACTGACTTCTAGTTCTACTAGATGAGATACAACAAGGCGGAGAGTGTTGAGGGTCAGACAATATGGAGTTAGACCACTTCTCACACATAAGTTGTTTCTTATGTCTATCATTTCCCTAATGTAGTAACTAGCTGACTGACTGCACATCACTTGCCTTACTCACAGCATTCAATACATTTCTCAAAGTGACATAATCCTTTTTGAGTAAGTAGCCTAGAAAAGACTAAGTTGGGGGAGGGGAACAGTAAAGTACACCAGGTAAGATACAGGAGTTAGCAAATTGTAAAAGTGGAGGTTAAGTGATTCCCGATTATCTTAACTTTTTGGGGATAACCGACCAAGTAAGGTGAGAGGATAAGAACTACATCAAAGTAAAGTTGTGTTAGACCTGGTTTCCATTACAACCCACCTATGTTACAAGCATCATATGTGCTAACCAGTTGTGGTAGATCACGTTTGTCTAAACGAGAAGTCAACAGTCTGGAATTTCGAGGGATCTCACGTAAGACCATTTAGCTTAGACCACTAACTGACGTCTGACAAAAAGCTATTAAGTTTGTAACAGTGTGATCGGGACTTCAAAGGAAGTGGGATGGATGTCCCATCAACGACAATGGTTGAGGTCACGCTAAATCACGAATTGGTAGAAGTTAGAATTCATGGGCCATTGAATCGGGTCCCAGTGGCTGAATGGTATACGAGCTTACCTTGTAACCGTAAGGTCCTGGGTTCGAATCCCAGGTGGTGCGTACTGCCGATGATTCTCAAACTAGGATGAAACAGCAGCTGTCCAGAACTCCCTGGTTTTCAATGGTTCTCTAACTAATATCAATCCGTGATCAATTTGTAAATTCTGGTTTAATAATACTTTGATCGTGTGAAGAAGAGATGAGAGAGTCTGGTCAATCGTGGACCCAGCTGAAGAGGATGGCAGAAAACAGAACGAAGTGGAAATGTGTTGTTGAAGCTCTATCCTCCGATCGGAACGCAAGGGAATAATAACACTTTGATGAAGCTATTAGGAGCATTAAACAACGAAACGTTAGCAAAAACAATATTGTTTTGTTTTTCATTCATTGGGAAATGCAAAAAACCTTCATTATACCCGATGCCCAAATTTTTTCAAACTGTTAAAAGTGAACTTGGTCTGGACATGTAGAACTCATTTCCCTTCTGAGATTCACACCTACTGCTAGCAGTCAGAGACGTTACTACTGACCTATTCGGTGTCGCCATTGACCTCCTCTGTAACAGTGTGGTGGGTACTTTGATAGAACACTAGCTTGTAGGTAACTAATGTCGATCACATTCAACAATCTAACAACCAATCAACGTGCACCATAATGAAAAGCTACTTGACTGATAGAATCCAGTCTACACCAAACGAAAGGCTAGCCACGTGACAATGGATAACTGCCTAGTGTCCAATTAAAGTAAAGGCTGAATTAAATTACAGTTACTCCTATGTAAATACACAGAGGAGTGATATTCCTTCATTATTAGCAACCGTCCATTGTTGCATCGTTATTATTATTTATCCTAATCCTTTGCGTTCGCAGTGGGACATCAGGCCTCGAAAGCCAGAGCTTTAGAGTTTCAGTAATAGTCGTATTAGTTGTAGTAGTGTCTTTTTATGAGGTGGCGTTGATAGCCCCGCGCCCAACCATCCCTCTTTGTCAGGTTTATAACCATTTCAGGGAGGTATTTATTATTTTTTTGATTACAGCTTGATTCCACACTGTATTTTTGGTACAAGTGTGAAATTTTTATGGTATTCAAAACTTCTGCGATTTTGTTGGAGAATTAGTGTCCACTGGCAGTTCTGTAGTAGCTGCTGATGGCAGAAGAGTAGAAGAAAATAGAGATGGATAGGACACACGCTCAGGAGACTTTTCAGTGATATCGCGTGCGAAGTCATCGCTTGAATGGGAAACGGTGAGTTGGCTGTGGGTCCCTGGGTAACACGGAGGAGATCGTGTGAACAAGGTTGCAAGAAAATATAGTTGACTAATTTATTTTTCGGTATAGAAAACAAAAAACCTAAGTAAAATAGTACATGGTGATTAGCAGTGGAATGCCCAAATGACAATATGTGAATCCTCAGACACCATCGAAGTGTCCCTAACTGACCTCGGCAACTCAGGAATTGATATGTTACCACAAGGAAATAATCTCATTGACTTAGAATATGTAGATGATATAGTCCTCCCAACAAGGTGAACACGTTTATAGAATAGAGAAGAGTCTTCTTAACACCTTGAGCAGCCATTTTCGAATTTTTAGCATGCGATTCGCTCCTGCTGTCGTCAAATGTAAGATTATGCTACAGGACTGACTGGACCTCATCAGCTCACTCCTAGCTTAAAGATGGGCAGGCAGGAGTGAAGTGGTGACTGGTTGGCTGAGCATGTTGACTACTTGACTTATTTGGGAAGTTGCCTCAGTCAACGCCAGCAGCTTGATCTCTGACGAAATCTCACCACCGATGCAGAAGGCTCGTTTGGCATACACCAGTTTACGACGTCTCTGGCGTAGACGTGAAATCCGGCTGGTCGGCTGTCGACCAAAGAGCGTGTGTACTACTCAGCAGCAGTTCGCACCACCCTCCTTTATGGCTGGCTGTGAGACATAGCCACTGAAAGTGGAAGACATGAAAAGACAGGGTAGCTGTGTTTGATCATAGGTGTCTGTATTCTATCTCTCTGTTATTTGGTGGTATAATCAGGTGTTAAGCGCATAGTGCTAGGTAAGAAGGGAAAATTAACAGAATATGTGTTACGCAAGCATGAGTAGCCAACGCCTTCCTCAACAACGGGCAATATTAGCTGACATACGATGGATCAGGTTGGAAAACATCTAGTGGTGGTGGTGGTCAGACCAAAACATGGCTTCATCACTCAATGAAATCCGCAACAGTTCAAGCCAGTCATCTAGATACATAGGGAGTTGTGGAGTGTCTGCCTGACTGCTTCGTCAGGGTCCTCAGGATGGTAAGAACCAACGAAGGCTGGAGACAACTGGCGATATGGCTCGAAATTATTCTCCGTGATAGCTTGCGCAGTTGCATTCAATCTTTGTTCAACAGCGCTCAGCATCAAAAATAAGATCCGGATTTTCAACTCTAATGTAAAGTCAGTACTACTATACGGATCAGAGACTTAACGCGTCATAAAGAGCATCTCAAACAAACTTCAGACCTTCATTAACAGTTGTCTTCGCTCAATACTCAAGATCAGATGGCCAGAAAAGATCAGCAACAGGGATCTCTGGGAGCGAATCAACGAGGAACCGATTGTGAAACAAATAGGCAGGAAGAAATGGAGATGGATTGGCCATACTCTGAGGAAACCATCAAGTGACACCACTAGAGAAGCCATTGCTCGAGTGGAACCCGAAAGGGAAGCGGGTGGCGAGTTGGTCGTCCAAGGGTGACCTGGAGGAGGTCATGCGAGGAGGAGATGGAAGCATGTGGACAGACCTGGAGCGGGGTGAAAAAGTTGGCAGAAAACAGAAGGCAATGGAGGTGCGCAGCTGAAGCCTTATGTTCCTCGAGGAACTAAAGGGTGTAATAATAAATAATAATAATATTCAATCTTTGTGATTTATCATATCCAATAAAATTCTACTGCTCTTCCATAATACTATTCTTTTTGCCTCACTCAAACTTCTGTTTATTATCTCTCTTTACTCTCTTCTGTTGCTTCGTGTGTTACATGGAGGGAGTGTGACAACTGGAACTAGTGTACATTTGTGCAAAGTTTTACGTCGAAACCAGTCAGTCAGTCAGTTAGTGTGTATTCGGTAGGCGCGACATGTCAAACAGAGACTGGATGGACATTTCGCCCTTCCCAATATAATCAATCAACAAGAAATAGAAAATAAAATTTTGTTTTGTTAAACAAGAACATAAAATATACCTTGTTCATTATTTATCGGGAAATTCCACATTTTCTTTTCAATAGTCCACTTTAACCATTCTTCAAATTGATTACTTGGACATGCTGTACTTATAAGGGAGGCTTCTAAACTCTCAACAGTATCAAACACTGGGTTTAATGATATGTAAGCATCACCAGATGTTACTGAAAATGACGATGTTTAGTAGTAGTCAAATGAACACTTACAATGCTCTACATCAAAGAGTTTTAAATCAATTGGTTGAGGAAGATTTACAAATGAAGACATGGCTGTTGTTAACATTTCACTATGTCGTTCTGAAGAAATTGAAGGAAAATAAAATAAAATGAAAGAAGGGAAGACTCACCAGAATGACTTTGACTTTTCGCTTTTTTACCACCTTTAATAAAACTACTGAGTAAATCTCTGAAAGACAAAGTAGTCGGTAATAGTAACACAACATTAATATAATAATAACAACAACATACTTTGATTTAATGACATCTGTAGATTTTTCAGAACTATTAAATTTATATTTTTAGTTTTTAAAAAATATCTCTTACCAGTTTGCTTCAATTTTTAAGTTTTTTCTTTACTAGAAACATTTTCAGTCTTACGATCCTCTGAAGAAAGTTCCTTTAATCGCCTAAATAAATTTATAAGAGAAATGAATAAAAGCTGTCGGTTAACTTTGTCTGTGCTGTTCTCAATGGTTGTAGTACAAATAACCTTTTGAAATAATCACACCTAACATGAAATCTATAAGAGGGAAAATAATGTTGTTGAAGGTAATAAGTTTAACGCACTTGTGAGATACACCGAGAAAATAGGTAACCATCAACAAATTGTGTTTGGTGTAAGATAAACGAAGAGTACACAGTGTACAGTGTAGTGTAGTATAGAAGCTTTGATTTTCAAGAAAATGCGATAATCGCTATTTTTGACCTGCAGCAGAAAAATAAAAGTCATAGATATATCAAGAGATATGACAGAGGTATGTGTACACAGTCAACACTATGCCACTAACATTTATAATCTTAAAAACAATAAAATACAGGGGAGAATGTTTCAGTCACACCACATATGTTTCAGCCTAACTAACTGAAAAGCTACTGAATTATGAAGAAAATTTCCTTTATCGACGAAATCATCTTCAGTGGCTGTATAGTAGTGTTTGAAATTAGGAAAACTGTATGGTAGTATTCCATTACTGAGTGATAATGTGGTGATATAATTAATTAGAATGGATGTGCAAGGATAAACTGCCACTTTAGGCCACTTCAATATGTGTTAATAAATTCACCTGCTCCTGTCGAGCTAGTCACATTGGCCGCACACTTTCCAAACACACCTATGAACATTATCCGGCATGATTAGCGAAAGGACAGTGCAAGATAGTTAATAGCTCAATTCTCGACCACTTGGTCAACTCAAGCCACGCAGTTCTACTGGTCTTTTAAGATTACCTACAATTCGTTAATACAACCCAGAACTCTGTACAGTCTCTTCTGCCATCGTCTTAACCTCTTTATTAATCATTCCCTGCAAAATTTTACTTTAAATGATTAGTTTGCTTTTACCTTTATTAATAATTAATTCAATATTATCACTCTCATATGTTCCTTATGTACACTTTCTCACCCTCTTCACACTTGTTAAATGGACACTTAACTACCACCTTTCTTCTCATTACTCAATAACAATTTCAACTTTATCAAATTCCTAACGCTTTCTTCTTTTGTGCCGTTGTTGAGTAACACGTGACTTACAACCTTTATTTTTACTTTTAAAGCCAATTTAGAGTAATTACATTAATAATAATAATTTGCTTTATTCTAAAAGCAGTACGAATGATACAGCAAGGAATTTTCAGCATTCAGTACATCAACTGTTTCACCTCCCCCTATCACTCAATAATGGACTACTACACATTTTTGGTAAATGTAAATACGACTGTGCAACCTGTGATGATTTCATCGATAAAGAAAATTTTCTTCGGTAAATTTTCTTTACTATTAGTAGAATTACAAGCATTTCTAAGAGTAGTAAGTTGGTTCGAACTAGGTTTCTGTAAACGTTTTTTGGCACAATTACGGATGGTGACAATTAATACCATTGTAACCTAACATCCCGGTTTCGACACAACATATTCGGCGTTGACATCACATCCAGCTTTCCATCATATGGCGTGTGTACTGAGCACCAGTCCACCAAGTCCTTCTCTATGGCTTTGAGACATAGCCATTGAAAGTGGAAGATATAAAAAGCCTTACTAGCTGTCTCTCGTAATAGGTTTCTACATTCTATCTCCCGTGTAAGAAGGTATATGAGCTGAGTAATATTGAGGTCAGGTGTCCAGTGATAGGCTAGGAGGGGAAGTCAATCGATAAGGTTGTGAAACTACATCGATTACGATAGCTAGGATATGTGTTACGCATGACTAGCTATCACCTTTCCGATGGGGAATGTTAGCTGACATAGGATGAGGTTGGAAAATGAGCTAATGGTGGTCAAACCAAAACATGGCGACACTCTGCGAAATCTTTAACGACCATTTTAAGCTAAATGAGTAGGCGGGGTGCACACTATCTGCATCGTTGGGTTCCTAGGGATCCTAAAGACTAACGGCTGAATCCAATTGGTGAATTGGCTCGAAGTTGGTCCCAGTGGTGGAGATGCAGCATTCAATTTCGCGATCTCCCGTATCCAATAAAATCCCATTCTTTTTTCATGTCATCAATACTTTTTCTCCCCCATATTTCTGCTTAGTATCGTTCTTTCAAATCCAGTGCTTTCCTCTTCTGTCTTCTTTTGGTGTGACAATTTAAAGGGATGGACTTCTGTGGAAAATCTTACATTGAAACTCAGTCAATTCATTACCTAATACACCACACTACAAGCAACAAATACATTTGCGGGATATAAAAGTGAAAATTATCTGCCATTCTTACTACATAATAAGGGTTGGGACAAATGTATATCCACTGATGAATAGTAGCGTAAGTTTTTGACCACAGCAATTATCACTGAACACTGGATGCTGACGCTTGGTGTTAAAGTCGACTTGTTTAGCTGAAGGCTTCTAGTCAAGCATCCATGCCATCTGGTACTGCGTCGTGTCACGTTTGTGTACGATCACTAGCCAGCTTAGCTTCCGCTTCAGTCCACGATTTCGTCCCGAAATATATCTCGTAATTTGGAGGATCAGATACTGTCTTTTTCTTTGCCTTTAATCCACGAGAAACGAATACTACAGAAGCTGTTGGTATAAGATCTTGCGTTCGTATACTCCGTACAACTCACGAACGTCAATACCGTCGGACTCTTAATTAGTGATGAATCGCGACCTATTTTTTCTATAACGCTTCGGATCAATTCAAGGATGATTCATATTTAAGAATTTTTCGCATTGGAAGGGTTGACCAAAATGTACAGAACTAACAACTAACCAGTTTTGAGGGAATAGTCAAACTCACTACTTGCTCATAACGCACACAGTCAAAGTTGGCGCAGAATTCCAATATTCAATATCCATCTTTTAGACTTGATCAAATTAAAGCTCACTACTTAATCATTGTTATAGTTTGTGCTTGATGTGTGGCGCCTCCTTGTTCAGGTGACTCTAAACTATAACAGGTCAAAACGAAACCACCTAATAGACGGGTTGATAGTCTTGACGAACTTGCGTACAAAATTGGTTCAACCTGACCATGAGAACTCTTGTGAGAAAGGAGTCGGGGCTTGTGCTTACCACTCTGAAAGTTACCGCGCAAAAGTTTTCTTTGGGGAACCAAGGATTCTGCCCTCTCTGATATCTGTCTCTAAATCTTTTCTGAAGTCTTGGTTAATGGGTCTTTTTTCTTACCTTCACGTTCCCAGTGAAACATGGGGCCTCAGGCTGGCGGCTTGAAGTTTCTGTAGTAGTGTTTAATTTTACGGAATGGGGTTGCTAGCCTCATGCCTAACCTCTCCTCTTTACCAGCATCATTTCTGGCTTAGTGAAGTAAGGGAGTGGGTCGGCCGGGAATCGAACCCCGGACCATGTGCAAGGTCGGCGGGCGTCCTAACAGCTGTGCCACCGACGCACAATGTTATATATGACTTTCTGAATGAGAATGGCGAAGGCAGATATTTAGCCACTTACAATGACAAATGATCTGCAAACATTACTGGTCCCATACCCTACAACTGCCTCTTGAATTACCCATTACCTTCCTCCACGACGCATCCCGGATGACTGTTGTGGTATGTAACCTTTGTACTAACAAGAATCCAAATAACTACCTGTACAGAGCCAACAAATCCGATTATTTAAGAAATCTTGAACATACACGGCTGCATCTGAAATCTGAACGATCCGTGTGATGATAATTTCCGGCTCCTACATTCAATTGTCATTTCATCTGGATTCATTCGCCATTATTCTAGTTCCTGGCCGTATATGGACTGAAAATTAACCATTGCTGCAACTAAACTTCTTTATATGTTTAACTGGACAATTGCTGCTAAGCTGAGTCACCGGCCTGTAATATTGCTAAACGCATTATTGTCGGTGAACTGACTAACGTTTTTACAGAGCAATTTCGTCCCTTTATGAATAACTTACCATACTTATCATCATTAACGTAACCATCAAATGTGACGCTCACTTTGGTCAAATTTCTTCAATGGAGACGCTTTGTATTATTCCTTGAACATCCCTTCCGCCCGTGTAAAGTGACATTGTAGGTATGATTCCATTACATTTTCCTATACATACTTTGTGTTAGTGAATATTTGTAAATACGCCTACTACTCGTATATGTAGTTTATCATATCGGTGATAGCTGTAAACTGGCCTCCCCCATGTGATTAATCGAGAATATATTATTATTAAGTGCTACCATAATTTCAACACAACTGTCACCTCTTCACATAGAAAAGTCCGCGTCCTAAAGTAGCGGTTTCCATGTGTAGAAATATGTTTGTGTGAATTCATTGTTCGTTCCAAAGATTTTAGCATGTGTTTACTTTGTACATGAATCCTGTTCTAGTTGAACTTTCAAAGCAAAAAGTTAACTAAAGTCACAGAAGGCAACCCGCTTTGCGCAATCTGGAGAGACAGGGTCGGGGAAGGCCTGCTTTCTGCCTTAGAAGCGAAATCAGCCTTTACAGAGTACCTCGCACCTTCAGTAAATACGAGACCCAACTTATTAATATTCTGGAGCAATTATCCGACTTACAATACGATCATAAGATCCTATGTGGGGACTTTAACTTACCTGAAATCAACTGGGATATACCCACAGGCCCAACTAAATTTGATAAGTTCTTAGGCACACTGGATATACTTGGCTGGAAACAAACTGTCACTACTCCCACAAGAGGTAATAACGTACTAGACTTAATCTTCTGCCACAATATAAGCCCCCTTTCAACGCTAGTAGGTTCTGAGTTTCCAGGGAGCGACCACAAAACAGCGATATGTGCACTGCCAATTCCGCTGAGTAGCAATGCATCTCATACCTCCACTTCACAACAAGTAAAATATAGGAACTATAGTAAGGCAAACTGGGCCTTAGTAGTATCAATGCTAAGATCCTCCGAATGGGATGAATACTTCACTACTGATGACCTATCGAGAGCCCTAACCATCTTCTACCATAACTCAAACACATGCTTAGATGCTGTCATTCCACTCCAAACACTAAAGGTTTCCCCACACAGAAAGTCATTCATAAAACCAAAGGATCGTACGAAACTGAAGAGACTCTCAACAAGTTACTTCAAACACCACGACTTTGGCACTCTAGGTCTAATACTTAACACCCTTAGCTCCATCTCACAAACTCGAAATCT